GACGACTGCGGCGGGAGAAGAGGCTCGCGCATCGGTCGCGCGTGTCTTATATATCCTCGGCTCGGGTGATTACGCGATGTTCTAGAATCGTCTTCTTTCCCCTCCCACCCCACCACCCCGATGTGTCGATAGGAGGGTACGAATGATATTGTTTGGAAAGGAAATAATGATTCTACAAGTTCCTACCGTCAAAATAAAACAAACGCGAATGGTTGTTCCGCGCGTGAACCATCCTTCATATTACAATCATTTAGAAAAACGTGTAATAAACCGTACATTAAACAAATTGATAAGTGAAGAAATAAAATAAAAATATATTTGTTAGTATGGTAAGTCGAATACAAACAAAACCGTTACATACATAATAATAAATAAAAAAATGAAAATATTATTATGTTAGGAGACTTTAATGGAAGGATTGGGGTGAAGAGGTCTGGTTATGAAAGGATATTGGGAACGTTTGGTGATGAAAGTATAAATGAGAATAGTGAAGACCTCCTCACCGTATGTGTGGAAAAGACGAATCTCTTTGTGACGAATACTTTTTTCGTCATAAAAAGATTCATATGTATACATGGGAAAGAGGTGATGATAGAAGCATAATAGATTTCGTAATTGTGGATGAAAGAATGAGGAGCGCAGTCGTAGATACAAGGGTTTACCGGGGGTCCAACGTAGGGACGGATCATTACTTGGTCTTATGTCGAATTAATGGTCTTTTCAAGCGTTGGCGGCACCGGACGTCTGTGTCTATCACTGCGTTACAGCGTATAAGAAAAGAAAAGTTACAAGATGAAGATGTGAAAGAGAAGTATAAATGCAGACTGAGAGAAAATATTAGGTGTTTGAATGAGTTGTGTATGAATGATTTAGACTTGAATACTGTGTGGGATAATATTAAGAAAAATTTGGTGGATGCAGCCACCGAAGTATGTGGTGTAAGTAAGAGAACAAATGAAAGGAAAAGGAATACGTTGCGTTGGGATGATGAGGTACGGGTGGAAGTTGAATCAAAGAAGAAAGCATGGTTAGATTTACTAGCCACCAAAGCTGGTAATTCTGGTGGTGAAAGCGTGTTTATGAGTGAAGAGTCGTCTGAATTAAATGAACAAGAAATTCCGAAAGAAGTGGAAAGGGGTATGGAGATAAGTGTAGATGAAATAATAAAAGCAATGAAAAGCATGAAAGCAGGTAAGGCCGCTGGATATGATAGAGTATCACCCGAGATGCTAAGGGCTGGAGAGGGAGTGGTGGCAGGCCTGCTGTACACCTTGTTTAATTTATGTTGGGAATTAAAACGGATACCGGATGACTGGTGTAAAGCAGTTATAGTACCAATATATAAAGGAAAAGGGTCACAGCAGGACTGCAAAAACTACCGTGGTATCAGCTTGCTTAGTATTGTGGGTAAACTGTATGCTAAGGTGTTAATTGAAAGAGTTATGAAAGAAACTGATGGAAAAATTTGGGATGTGCAAGCGGGTTTTAGGAAGGGAATGGGGTGTACAGATCAAGTCTTTTCCATGCGCATGATTGCGGAGAAGTTTTTGGCTAAAAACCAGAAAGTTTTTTGTGCGTTCATGGACTTGGAAAAGGCTTATGACAGAGTGGACAGGAATGTGTTATGGCAAACACTGAACTCATATGGGTTGAGCGCTGGTTTGATACAGGCATTGAGGTCTCTTTATAGGGATTCTAGTGCTTGTGTCAGGATCAATGGGGTCTACTCGGACTGGTTTGGAATCCAAAAAGGTGTCAGGCCGGGATGTGTAGCTTCCCCTTGGCTGTTCATTATATTTATGGACAGGTGTTTGCAAACTTTGAAAGATGAAGAATGTGGGTTAAGAATGGGCGAGTTAACCGTCAAATTCCTTATGTATGTCGATGATCAAGTCATATTTGCGTCATCGGCGGCTGAGTTGCAAATTATGGTTACATTAATGAACTGGGAATTAAAAGAAAGGGGAATGAAAGTGAACGCAAGTAAGACGAAAGTGATGGTTTTTGAAAGAGAAGAAAGCAAAACGGTATGTGAAATAAGAATAGAAGGAGAGTTAATTGAGCAAGTGGATGAGTTTGTGTATTTGGGATGTGTATTTAGCAGGGATGGTAGATATAATAAGGATATAGAACGACGAGTAAATGCAGGGAATAGAGTGAATGGGGCACTAGACTCTATTGTGAAGAACCAGAATGTGTCAAAAAAGGCACGTATGGTAATTCATAATGCTGTGTTAGTCCCTACTTTAATGTATGGTAGTGAAAGCTGGGTATGGCAGAAGAAGCACGAAAGTAGAATAAATGCTGTAGAAATGCGGTCTTTAAGGAGTATGTTAGGGTTGAATCTGAATGACAGGGTGAGAAATTGCGTGATAAGAGATAAATGTGGTATGCAAGATGATGTTGTGACCAGGATTAAGAAAGGAATGCTTCGGTGGTTTGGTCACGTAGAAAGAATGAATGAGAAAAGAGTGACAAAGCAAATTTATATGGCAGATGTGAACGGTAGAGTCGGGAAGGAACGCCTTAGAAAAAAGTTTATCGACCAAATTGGCGATATTTTGAAAATGGGCCACGTTAAAGGTACCCTTAACCGACGAGCATGTATGCGTATATGATATATGGATGTAAAGGAGGCGAAAGAGGTATGTCAGGATCGTGTCAAATGGAAGTCCGTAGCCTCTGCCTACCCCTCTGGGTGACAGGCGTGAGTGTTTATGATTATGATTATGATTAAATAAAAAAGTAACAATAAATAAATTATAGTTAACATGAAAAGAAGAAGTATCTTGTTTCTGTAAACGAAATCATTTATTCATGTCTAATATTTATCTCATTAAAAAAATAAGATAGATCTGCTAAATGATCATATAAAATCTTTTAAACCTTTATTTTAGAAATAGCCCAGCAACTGACACACTACCCCATATTTAGTTCTAAGGTTATTTTAAAACTTATAGCCTTAACGTAATTTTTTAGCATCACTGAGGTTTTAAATTGAACATGAAAATTAACTAAGCTTTTAAAAACACATTTATAGAATATAGTAGCACGTGTTATAGAGCCGTCAATGTATAGAGAGGAAGAAATATAATATTAATATTCTGCAGTGAATGTATTTATTTCTTTTTGAAAATTTACGCTTTTTAACTACGTTAATGCTCATTTAAGTAGTCTATATTTTGTATTATAATATATTTGGTGTAATAATTAGCAATTGTCTTTTTGTATTTAATAAAATATTTTAAATATATCGGTAGTTAAAAATAATAGCCGTAAACAATATACTCGAAACGTTTATAAGAAATTTAATAATATTAAATATAATAGTTTAAATATTTTAACCACTCTGCGTGCTTATGTTAAGTACTACTTATAGAAATCTAATAAAAATATTTGGTTTTAACTCTTTGTCTAATATTACTACACTATTACATATAAATTAAGTTTTAAATTAAACGTAAATAAAAATAATTATTTCGTTATTTAAAAGCTTCGTGTACACATCTATATGATCTTTAGAAGAGATGAAACATTTCGGCAAGTGATGCAGCCGTGAATAATTGTATGCGCCGTTAATCCCATACTTTTAAGCGAGTAATTCTTGTATATATATATATATATATAATCGGAATCTCGGAAACGGCTCCAACGATTTTCATAAAATTTAGTGTCCAGGGAGTTTCGGGGGCAATTAAATCGATCTAGCTAGGATTATAGAAAATGTCTTTTTGTCCGTGTTTTCAGGCAATGAAAAACTGCTATAATATAAGAAGGTAAATTTTGACACTGTGTTAATGATCGTAATAGCTCAAGTGGATATCGAGCGGTCACGAAATCGTAATGCCTTGGTTCGCGTCCTGTCTTCGGTCCGATTTTTTTTTCCTTTTTTTCAAGTTCCCTTCTTTTGTGAGAAAATCTATTATTTCGAGCCCTTTTTTAGTATTTTTTAAAAATACGAAAATATTATTTAAAATAATTGCACTCATGATTTTTGATTCAAATAACCAGTTCAGTTTTTTTTTTAATATGTCAATAAGATCAAAAAATATTATTCATCAGTGTGTAATTAGTATTTGAATGTAATTTCAAAAAAAAAAAAACCAACAATGCTCGGTCATCCGGGTACTTCCACATTATGCGGTAAAAAATTCTCTAATAGGAAATTAGTGGGTAAGAGAAAACACAAACACTTTTTCAAAGCATCCGCATCTAGTCTTAATGAAAAGTTAACAGGAAGGCAAGTTGAGTGTGATTTTAACTGAAATTTTCTTCACGTTGATTCTTAATTTCAGTAGGCGATTCATAATACTGAAAACATTTTATTAGATGCTCAAATAAATTGAAATAGTCCTTTGTAAGCGTCCCCTTATGATTCGTGAGACTGGAAATTTATGAAACGTGTCAATTTTACAAACAGCTGTTATAATTGCAAATATATGTTAAAATATTAAAAAAATTTATCTTTCAGCCATGTTTAAAAAAGTTATTTTTAGGTCCAAATAAAATTTAACTAAAATAGCTGATACTACGAGTATATACTCTAAAGAAACTTAAATATATAGGTTAGTTACTTTTTCATGTCCAAATTATAGATAACTTAATATTGATGAAGGTTTATACTTACATTGTACGTCTCATTGCTCCTATTTCTGAGAGGATTATGGAGCAATGATCCACCTTGACGCCCGTTGTCAGACTTTACACAATTTCTTTGATATTTTTTTTCTAAGACACGGAGTCACGGAGGTTTATTCAAGATGTGTTCTTTCGTAGCCAAGGACGTGGAAAAGGGCTCTTTAAACTACAATTAACATTTTTATTGGTGCTGACGGCGATCAAAACTGGATTGCTCGCGTAATGTGATACAGCGCTTAGTCTGTGAGCTACGTCGACTTCGATATAAACCTTTATAAAAACATAAAAGAAAGGAATTCAATACAGGAAAATCAAAATTATCATTTACAATTTCTTTATTTTATAATGTGTTTTTTTACTAGGGCCCATTAGTACAACTCCTGAAATGCCGACCGCGGCTGACCTGCAACTCGCTGCGGCTAGTGGCTCTAAAGGTGAGAAATCTTCTATATTATGTATAAACATAATCTGAGGCCTTTAATATAATTGCGTGCCCGTGTGTGAGCGTACGTGAGCGAGACCTTTCATGATAAACATTCCACCCTGCTGAACGTTCTTCAGTGAGATCTAACCCTACAGCCACAGCTTATGGGGTTCGAACTTACAGGTCACTGACCGAAGCTACTTCGGTTTAAAGAACTTTATTTTTCATTAAGACAGTTGGTACTTCTTTATAGAATAAGTGTGACAAATGAGCACTCAGTTCGTCTGATGGTAAATGGATGCTGTGGCCCATAGACATCTACATTTAACCTTGATTAAGAATCAAAATGCAGATCCGTTGTCACCCTTGAGGAATAAGATGGAATGCCTCAATTCCAGTAAAACGGGTCTCCGGTTCTCTACACTCACCATATGAAACACAGCACCATTAAGCTGCTATTACTACGCTGGTATTCTGTGAGAGCGTGGTCCTTCCCCGCTCGAAGCCGACTAATTCATACCACAACCATAGTATAGCTGAAGCGTGGCTCTATCACGTACATACGTTCTCTTACATAAGAACAATAATATCTATATTAAAAATTTTATGTTATACATAATTCAAGTGCGTGCGGATAGTAAAAAATACGTTGGTCGATCGTCATCCAAGAAGCGAGTTCATTGTGTTCCTTTCTATCTCTGAGACAGTTAATTTTAATTTATAGTTTTATCATTATAAATTATGTTCAAATAATATGCTTTTAAAAATATTGATCTAAGTCACTTCTTTCATATGTTTTCGAAGTTGATTGTATAACTGTGCTCGCCATATGTTATGTCATTTTTACCATAGTTGGTTCTTACCGCAGGTAAAACAAAATTACTGGCTAGCTGGGTTATTACCCACCTAGCCAGTAATTTTGTTTTACCTGTATTCAGGTGGACCAAACAGTGACATCTAAAATAATATTTTTAATTCCTCACACCTATTATCAAACTAAGTCTATAATCTATAATATATAGAGTAGATAAAAGTGTATTACTTCACTATTATTAGAATAAGGTATTAAGAAGATTGAGATCTTCCAAAACTTCTTTTATGGAATAAAGGTTACAAACGAACACAGATTCCACCTGATACATCGATTAAGAATCAAAATGCAGATGCTTTGTCACCAAGAGAGGACATAGATGGAAAAGCTCTTTTGCAGTAAAAACAGTTCCTTGTTTTCTGATCAGACCCTGGAAAGTAGCAGCATTATTCTGCTATTTTACACGGGTATTCTGTGAGAGCGTTGTTCTTCCGCGGTAGAACCTATTGGTGCTACAAACGTAATAAAACTGAAGCGTGGCTCTATCACGTAATAAATAACGTGAATATTGCAACCTTTGTAGTAAACTTGTACTGTTGCTTAGAAAATTTTGAGAACTAACGAGTTTAACCAGTACTTATCATTATTCTATGTTGATATTAAACTGTTGTTTCAACATCATTTGTTTTATTTTCAGGAACAAGTACGTGCACATTTATAGCATTGGTTTTGCTACCAGCTTTATCTCAGTCATTACTGGTAGTCAAATGAAAACATTATAGGAAATTGTTTAAAGTAAGGAAAGCTATTATACTGCATGAAATCATTCTTATCTTAAGAATCACACAAAATTTTATTGTTTTTTGCGATACTGTCCATCCAAAGACCTAGAAGAAATTGCTTTTAGCGATAAGGCCGCCCATTGTCATACTAAGTTTTGCAGTAAAGAGTTATCTATCCATCTAAATTATTCAAAACTATATGAGTTTTTATATTTCTCAATGTAAGTTAACAACAAATACTATTAAAAGATTTATATCAATTACCTTAATAATAATAGAAGAATATGAAGATAACCAATGATAAATGACTGCTACAACATATATATATTTATTTATTTATTTACACTTTATTGCACCTTAATAAAAAGACTACAAAGGGCGGACTTAATGTCTATATATATATACTTTTATATATATATATATATATATATATATATATATATATATATATATATATATATCCTAAAGCATAACTTTTTTAAACGATTTCAATCCAATGCATGACTACTATAACTCCTAAAAGTAAGTGATGGGAAGGTACTGCTGCAGCCCATGAAAACTTGCAGCCAACTTCAAAAAAAGAAGGTCACCTCTAAGCTCTAAGGTTAAATACCTCAGAAACTATAATTATCCTGGCTTTCTATACCCTTCAGACCGTTAATCAGCAGTGCAAGCACCGCTATTTGGCGGCACAAATGAGTAAGAGAGTAGTACTAACTCAGTTCATGGTTACTTAACTCACAGTTGAAAATCTCTAATACATATATAATGCTTGGGTTAGGTAGGTAGTTATGTAGTGGTTCACGACAGTAGTCAAATGGTGGTTCGAGCCCATGAGTTTTGAGTCCGCGTTCCGCACCCTACCATTACTCTGTTGTCGCTTAATAATTATTCCAATTATTATAATAATATGTTTTTTTATATATAGAAAAATGTCATAAACGAGCACACAGTCCACCTAATGGTAAGTTGATACTGTAGCCCATAGACATCTACATTTATCTTCTATAACAATTCAAAACACTGATGCCTTTACATCACAGAAATTCTATTTAGATTTCTGTACTTGGCAACCTTGGGAACTAATATAAAATGTCTCGTATGCAGTAAAAAGGGCCTCCATTTATCTAAACTGCTCATTCGAACAGCAGCTCTTTTACGCTGGTATACTGTCAATATCTCAAATGTGTGTTTAATTTAAATTTCACATGAGAAAAATAAAACATAATATTTTGTTACAGGCACCATGCTGAATACATATGCACCGAGTGACATTCCAAGTATTACAGCTATAGTACGTCTAGTCATATCGTCCAAAGTCGCACTTTTAAAATGAAAACAATTGCAGAGAACTTTAGTAAAATAACACATTTTGAAAATTAGCTTTTTGTGTATTAAAAAAATTACGTAAAAAGTTTTCGCGTTAAAAATATTATAGTTATAAATGTACAGCTCTATAATAGGAATTTTCATATTTCAGAATATTTTTCTTAACATGAAATTGATTATAGATAAAATTGTAAATATCGACCTTTGTATTTCATATGTTGGTAAAGTAGGAAAAAATTGCAAGTTTTGGCCTAAGGTTGATTATTTTTAAATAGACATAAAAATGTTTTAACTAGGTGATAAATAAAATATTTTAATTATATCTTTGAGGTTCTAAGTAATAAATGTCACTATTGCTGCTAAATTAATTTCAAACGATAATATTAATATATATTTATAAAATTATTGCATGTCATCAAATAGAACATGATTTTTAAATTATGTTTTAATTATGTTTTTTACAATTTATTAATAAATTATTTTAGTTAAATTAAATATTTACAAAAAATAACTCATTTGCTGTCACTTGTTTGTATTATGTATGCTTATATAAAAAGTTTATTAACGATATACGTATAGTATATACGTAATCGTAAGAATTATCTTTCATAATTTTAAGAAGGGATAATCCCTATATTAACAGGGTACCGCATTTTCTTTTACTCATAACGGTTCTATATGAACAGATTGACAATATTATGTAATGATATATCTAAATTAAGAATTCACTCTCCCTTATTCCGTGATCCTTGGTAAAACAATTGTAATATAGCTTTTCGCATCATGCGCTCTATCAACATTTGTTTAATTGTTATATAATAATATCTCTTTGAGCATAACAACATATTAAAAGTAGTAACTAATAATATATTCATGATACGCTCATGTAAACATTTGTATGGAATTTGTATGAAGTAAGCTGTAAGTTTTCTTTTGTGTAAAGGGCTTATGATTCATCTGCTGTGCATATTGTCGTTTATGGATACGATCCAATGAAGACTTTATTGTAAATAATTCTGAATATTAATAAAACAGATGTTGTGTACTTATTAGTTTAATTTTTTTGTCTCTATTATTTTGCATAAAGTAATATAAAAAGTTAGAATGGTCACAACAGGCGACAAATGGAAACAAATCAGGAGATGCGCAGCAGCGTTTTCTTAATAACGGCTAAAATAAAAAGCTGCGATTGCCAACCCGATTGTCAAGCGTAGCAACTATGACAAATATGCCTCTGGGGTAATCTAACGGGTGCGCCTATGTCCAGCAGTGGACTTTAATAAACTCTAACGGTAACTGTATAACTAACGGTAATGTACCATTTGAAATTTTGAATAAAAGTAATCGTTTTCCATTATATACCCGATCGGTATATACTCGAACATTCTAGATGTTTCAGCAGAAGAGGCCCTATTTATATAGGTAGGTATCGACCGCGACTCGGGTCGGTATTGAAATGGCGATCCAAGCGAATACTTCAAAGCGATATAACTGCGAACTAAAGTGATCAGTAGTACAATTGTGTTTTAAAATTAGTGTGTTTTAGTTGTAGTTGGTGTTCGGTAACTATAGTGTCAATTTTGGTTTTGCAGCCTATAAAAGTCGACTGCTGAATAAAGGTTTCCTCTAAGGGGAATTTTGCCATAGTTGCCACTCTTGGCAGGCGGGTTGGCAACCGCAGTGTTTAAATAATTTTGAGTAGTTATCAGGACGCCGCTGCTGTTCATTTCCAGCTGTTCAGTTTCAGCTTCCCTCCGTCGGCTCTTATGACACTCACGGGACAATATGAGATGGTTGACATTCTTACATCGACACTAAATGGTTAATTCGTTTTTGTTTTCTTTAATTTTCTACTCGGTCTTTCTAAGCAAATACGACAGAAGCCGCCCTTAATACACCAGATATGGGGAGACATTTCATCATCAATGATAATAGTACAAGGACCGCAAAAAGGTGGGTTCGTAAGAGGCGACAAAGGGAAATAAATTAGGAAATAACTAGAAGAATATAACATGCTTTGGTTGCTAACCCGCCTGCTGATCATGGCAACTATGGCAAATATCCCCCCAATGAGGCAATCTTTGGTACAGGCCTATTTTCGCAGTGAACTTTTGATAGCCTGTTACGGTAATGATACAATAATAGTTCTATCTTATCTGGGTTGTTCACTCGTACAATTATTGTAACATAATTATTATGTTCCCTGCTTTCTGCACTTCTTTGCATTTGATTGGCAATGGGAGTATCAATCACAATTTATTTAAGTATAGTGTACGAAATAGTTATTCCACCATTAAAAGTTGACCAACCTTAAGATATGTAAAAGTACAATGGCCTTTCAAGCTTTCTATATCATGTCATATATTCTCGTTTTCGTACATATTTAGGAAAATAAATAAAATTGAAGTAGAACAGCTTATTACTAAATGCATATAAAAGCATATGCGATACTTGTAACAAAAAATCAATGTTTAAAAGTTTTGTTTGTCTGTATTTCGTCTATATGTTCCGGCTAATCTCCCCGAAATGACAGGACGGATTTTTACGAGAATTTCACTGACAGATGTTCCGCACAAAAATATTCAAACCCAAGAAATCCAATCGTAATAATTACGATGGGGACGAAGTCGCAAGGAACAGCTAGTCATATATTATATAATCTCCCTTTAGATAATTCTCTGAAACGGTTTTATTTCAAATTCAACTTTATATATAGTAGAGTTACGCGACCGCTGTAAATTTTTATTTTATTTATTTATTCATTATTCAGGTAAATACACCCATTTTGTTAGTTCACTTAAAAGTAAATTAACAGAAATTATTATTTACGTGTTTATTATTGCAGCACTAATACTTCGGCTCGACCGATGAGTGATCCTTCGAAGAAACGGCGTAAAACGCAGCAAAATATTGCTGTGTTTCTTATATGACAAGGAATTTCCTCTGCATCCTCAGGGGTTTTTGAGTCCACGTATGTGATAGATGCAGTTGTATATAGGCCTAGGCATCCACATCCATTTACCATCAGGTGGGCTGTGTATTCGTTTGTCATCCTTACTTGCTTAAATAACTTTATTATTATTATTAGTTATTATCTGCCACAATCATCTTTCTTCATCCTATAGAAATATTATAACAGTACAGGGAAACAAGCCGTGGTAACTCAGATGGTTAGCGCTCGCTATAAATTTCACAGTACGCGAGCAACCCGGGTTACTAATGAAATAGTTAATTGCAGTTTTAAGTGCTGATTTACCACGTGCTCAGCAGTGAAGGAAAACATCGTGAGGAAACCTGCATGTCAGAAATAAAAATTAAATATTTCGAAGACATGTGAAGTTCGCCAACATGCATTGGGGCAGCGCAGCGGACATTTTCTTGCCCTAAAACCCTCTCAGAAATGAGAGGGGGCCTGTGCCCAGCAGTGGGACGTATATAGGCTGTAACTTTTAACTTTTACAGGAAAACAATAAGTGAGGCTTCGACCTCATCTTCCGTGATTCAAAAAGAATATTAATAGATAGCTTAGTTATTTCAATTTACGTGAAAACTACACAAAGTCAAGTTGGAAAAATTACATCAGGATGTCAAATACATCAAATGTCGGGAATCGATTGAAAAAATTTTATTTATTTAAGATTGCTTAGCGTTACATTGTATTACATATCACGTACAATAAGTATCAATGCAAATTTTCAAAGGGAGACAGGAAGAATAGATTTTCCACAATAATTCACTTGTAATTTACTTGCTCTAACAATCAAACCGTACCGTCCTCTAGTAAGAAAACATTTTCGGATGTATTAGCATGTTTTCGTGAGTTTTGGACATAGCAATATTAAAAACAGGAAAAGTGGCAAGGGGGCGTGTCTGTGTCCGCGGGCTATGATCAAAATACTCAGCTTCTATACAAATGGCTGTCTCTGCGAATTAGCGCGCTTGCGACCGTCATCGTGAAATATTATCAGAATGCCATGTTGTTCAGTGGTTTCTTGTAAAAGCCGAAGCCAAAACAAAAACTTTGTTAATCATGGAATCACTTACCATACCTAAGTACAAGTATTTCATTATATTTATCTTTAAAATCATATTAAACAACAAATCGTAAAAGATTTCTTTCTCTTACTACGTTATTTTTGTTTCCAAATATCACAGTTACTATAATATTTTTTCAGCAAATACATTGCTCCATAACCACTACCTAAGTATGACACCAAGTGACTCAACAAGCAATGTAAATATCACAAAACAATACTTTATTTATTCGGATATATTGCGTAGTACGGCCACTGTATCTTGTGACGAGCTAGTAATGTGCGTGTGCAGATCCACTATCGACAATAATATGGATTGGCGAATTGCTATTATAGTTTTTTTGTTTATTCTCCAATTTGTCAACCGTTTCAATCCGATAGGAAGACCGATGTGACATAATGTTTTTTACTTATTTTGATTATTTTACAGCAACTACTACGCTGAATGCGTAACCAAAGGTCGTAAAGTAAGTTGATTAAATTATAGGTTAATAATCGATGGAGTGTTCTTATGTTTGAATTATCGTATATTATGCATTATCTTCGAAAAATTTGCATAATTTTTATGGTTTTGGAGTTTATTATAATTTACAGTTTTCAAAAGATTCGAATGTATCATAAATACTTAACCGGCATGGTTATATAGTGACCAATCAGCTTAAAATTATTCAATATAATTATTCTTGCTATTTATTTGTTAGAAATGAGTGTGTATTTGTTTTCATATATTTAACAATATTATCACTAACCAGGAGTTTTCATAACAAAAGATCGCCAAGCAAAACCTGCTTAGTACATGGTGAGGTTAAAAAGTAGCTCAGGGTATATGAAAATAATAAATATGTCGTATCGGTCGTACCTTTCGGCTTGCTAAATGATGCTAATTTAAAAAAGAAATGAATTGATGCC